AGACATTAGGGGTGACTGCCATGTGTAGATAGGTTGTCCTACATCTACAGACATTAGAGGTGACTGCCATGTGTAGATAGGCTGTCCTACATCTACAGACAGTAGGGGTGGCTGCCATGTGGAGATAGGTTGTCCTACATCTACAGACAGTAGGGGTGGCTGCCATGTGTAGATAGGCTGTCCTACATCTACAGACAGTAGGGGTGGCTGCCATGTGGAGATAGGCTGTCCTACATCTACAGACATTAGGGGTGACTGCCATGTGGAGATAGGTTGTCCTACATCTACAGACAGTAGGGGTGGCTGCCATGTGGAGATAGGCTGTCCAACATCTACAGACAGTAGGGGTGGCTGCCATGTGTAGATAGGTTGTCCTGCATCTACAGACATTAGGGGTGGCTGCCATGTGGAGATAGGCTGTCCAACATCTACAGACAGTAGGGGTGGCTGCCATGTGTAGATAGGCTGTCCTGCATCTACAGACAGTAGGGGTGGCTGCCATGTGTAGATAGGCTGTCCTACATCTACAGACATTAGGGGTGACTGCCATGTGGAGATAGGTTGTCCTACATCTACAGACAGTAGGGGTGGCTGCCATGTGGAGATCGGTTGTCCTACATCTACAGACAGTAGGGGTGGCTGCCATGTGTAGATAGGCTGTCCTACATCTACAGACATTAGGGGTGACTGCCATGTGGAGATAGGTTGTCCTACATCTACAGACAGTAGGGGTGACTGCCATGTGGAGATAGGTTGTCCTACATCTACAGACATTAGGGGTGACTGCCATGTGGAGATAGGTTGTCCTACATCTACAGACATTAGGGGTGACTGCCATGTGGAGATAGGTTGTCCTACATCTACAGACAGTAGGGGTGGCTGCCATGTGGAGATAGGCTGTCCTACATCTACAGACAGTAGGGGTGGCTGCCATGTGGAGATAGGCTGTCCAACATCTACAGACAGTAGGGGTGGCTGCCATGTGTAGATAGGCTGTCCTGCATCTACAGACATTAGGGGTGGCTGCCATGTGGAGATAGGTTGTCCTGCATCTACAGACATTAGGGGTGGCTGCCATGTGGAGATAGGTTGTCCAACATCTACAGACAGTAGGGGTGGCTGCCATGTGTAGATAGGCTGTCCTGCATCTACAGACAGTAGGGGTGACTGCCATGTGTAGATAGGTTGTCCTACATCTACAGACAGTAGGGGTGACTGCCATGTGTAGATAGGTTGTCCTACATCTACAGACATTAGGGGTGACTGCCATGTGTAGATAGGTTGTCCTACATCTACAGACATTAGAGGTGACTGCCATGTGTAGATAGGCTGTCCTACATCTACAGACAGTAGGGGTGGCTGCCATGTGGAGATAGGTTGTCCTACATCTACAGACAGTAGGGGTGGCTGCCATGTGTAGATAGGCTGTCCTACATCTACAGACAGTAGGGGTGGCTGCCATGTGGAGATAGGCTGTCCTACATCTACAGACAGTAGGGGTGACTGCCATGTGTAGATAGGTTGTCCTACATCTACAGACAGTAGGGGTGACTGCCATGTGGAGATAGGCTGTCCAACATCTACAGACAGTAGGGGTGGCTGCCATGTGGAGATAGGCTGTCCTACATCTACAGACAGTAGGGGTGGCTGCCATGTGGAGATAGGCTGTCCTACATCTACAGACATTAGGGGTGGCTGCCATGTGTAGATAGGTTGTCCTACATCTACAGACAGTAGGGGTGACTGCCATGTGTAGATAGGCTGTCCTACATCTACAGACATTAGGGGTGACTGCCATGTGTAGATAGGCTGTCCTACATCTACAGACAGTAGGGGTGACTGCCATGTGGAGATAGGCTGTCCAACATCTACAGACAGTAGGGGTGGCTGCCATGTGTAGATAGGCTGTCCTACATCTACAGACAGTAGGGGTGACTGCCATGTGGAGATAGGTTGTCCTACATCTACAGACAGTAGGGGTGGCTGCCATGTGTAGATAGGTTGTCCTACATCTACAGACAGTAGGGGTGACTGCCATGTGGAGATAGGTTGTCCTACATCTACAGACAGTAGGGGTGACTGCCATGTGGAGATAGGTTGTCCTACATCTACAGACAGTAGGGGTGGCTGCCATGTGTAGATAGGCTGTCCTACATCTACAGACAGTAGGGGTGACTGCCATGTGGAGATAGGTTGTCCTACATCTACAGACAGTAGGGGTGGCTGCCATGTGTAGATAGGTTGTCCTACATCTACAGACAGTAGGGGTGACTGCCATGTGGAGATAGGTTGTCCTACATCTACAGACAGTAGGGGTGACTGCCATGTGGAGATAGGTTGTCCTACATCTACAGACAGTAGGGGTGGCTGCCATGTGTAGATAGGTTGTCCTACATCTACAGACAGTAGGGGTGACTGCCATGTGGAGATAGGTTGTCCTACATCTACAGACAGTAGGGGTGACTGCCATGTGGAGATAGGTTGTCCTGCATCTACAGACATTAGGGGTGGCTGCCATGTGGAGATAGGCTGTCCTACATCTTCAGACAGTAGGGGTGGCTGCCATGTGGAGATAGGTTGTCCTACATCTACAGACAGTAGGGGTGGCTGCCATGTGGAGATAGGCTGTCCTACATCTACAGACAGTAGGGGTGGCTGCCATGTGGAGATAGGCTGTCCTACATCTACAGACAGTAGGGGTGACTGCCATGTGGAGATAGGTTGTCCTACATCTACAGACAGTAGGGGTGGCTGCCATGTGGAGATAGGCTGTCCTACATCTACAGACAGTAGGGGTGGCTGCCATGTGTAGATAGGTTGTCCTACATCTACAGACAGTAGGGGTGGCTGCCATGTGGAGATAGGCTGTCCAACATCTACAGACAGTAGGGGTGGCTGCCATGTGGAGATAGGTTGTCCTACATCTACAGACAGTAGGGGTGGCTGCCATGTGGAGATAGGCTGTCCTACATCTACAGACAGTAGGGGTGGCTGCCATGTGGAGATAGGCTGTCCAACATCTACAGACATTAGGGATGGCTGCCATGTGTAGATAGGCTGTCCTACATCTACAGACAGTAGGGGTGACTGCCATGTGGAGATAGGCTGTCCTACATCTACAGACAGTAGGGGTGGCTGCCATGTGTAGATAGGCTGTCCTACATCTACAGACAGTAGGGGTGGCTGCCATGTGTAGATAGGTTGTCCTACATCTACAGACAGTAGGGGTGGCTGCCATGTGTAGATAGGCTGTCCTACATCTACAGACAGTAGGGGTGGCTGCCATGTGTAGATAGGCTGTCCTACATCTACAGACAGTAGGGGTGGCTGCCATGTGGAGATAGGTTGTCCTGCATCTACAGACAGTAGGGGTGGCTGCCATGTGGAGATAGGTTGTCCTACATCTACAGACAGTAGGGGTGACTGCCATGTGGAGATAGGCTGTCCTACATCTACAGACAGTAGGGGTGGCTGCCATGTGGAGATAGGCTGTCCAACATCTACAGACAGTAGGGGTGGCTGCCATGTGGAGATAGGCTGTCCTACATCTACAGACATTAGGGGTGGCTGCCATGTGTAGATAGGTTGTCCAACATCTACAGACAGTAGGGGTGGCTGCCATGTGGAGATAGGCTGTCCTACATCTACAGACATTAGGGGTGGCTGCCATGTGGAGATAGGTTGTCCTACATCTACAGACAGTAGGGGTGGCTGCCATGTGGAGATAGGTTGTCCTGCATCTACAGACAGTAGGGGTGGCTGCCATGTGGAGATAGGTTGTCCTACATCTACAGACAGTAGGGGTGGCTGCCATGTGTAGATAGGTTGTCCTACATCTACAGACAGTAGGGGTGGCTGCCATGTGGAGATAGGCTGTCCAACATCTACAGACAGTAGGGGTGGCTGCCATGTGTAGATAGGCTGTCCTACATCTACAGACAGTAGGGGTGGCTGCCATGTGTAGATAGGTTGTCCTACATCTACAGACAGTAGGGGTGGCTGCCATGTGTAGATAGGCTGTCCTACATCTACAGACAGTAGGGGTGGCTGCCATGTGTAGATAGGCTGTCCTACATCTACAGACAGTAGGGGTGGCTGCCATGTGTAGATAGGTTGTCCAACATCTACAGACAGTAGGGGTGGCTGCCATGTGGAGATAGGCTGTCCTACATCTACAGACAGTAGGGGTGGCTGCCATGTGGAGATAGGCTGTCCAACATCTACAGACAGTAGGGGTGGCTGCCATGTGGAGATAGGTTGTCCTACATCTACAGACAGTAGGGGTGGCTGCCATGTGTAGATAGGTTGTCCTGCATCTACAGACAGTAGGGGTGGCTGCCATGTGGAGATAGGTTGTCCTACGTCTACAGACAGTAGGGGTGGCTGCCATGTGGAGATAGGTTGTCCTACATCTACAGACAGTAGGGGTGGCTGCCATGTGGAGATAGGCTGTCCAACATCTACAGACATTAGGGGTGGCTGCCATGTGGAGATAGGTTTGTATAGGGGTAGAGGACTTTTATCTAATTTTGTTTCAGGATACAAAGTGAGGCATATGTGGGAAACCATCGCTGATGATGTTTACAGGATATCATCCGAGCAGTCCACGGCATGCTGGTTAGTGTTGATATCTCCGTCATGCTCATACACAGGTTTAGAAACATTATCAGAATGTTTTATACACACTGGATACTGAGAACCAGGAAGGTTTATTATCTATCAAATCTGCATTCTCTTTAGTTTTTTAAATTTCACACTAAAAAGGTTTAAATTCAGAATAAAATGAAAAAGATGCTTAATTTGTATTAATATTGCTACAGACATGCAATCTGAAACATGTTTTCTCCTTTAGATAAATTTTCAAAAGTTGATACTCTGCCAATAACATGGTGTGGGTAAAAAGGCCCAGCCCATTAGTTACAGCTACCACACAGACACGACGGACACCATGCAGAATGCAGTATCTGGATACGTTTAGTCTATCCCGTGCACGATTCTACCTGATACAAAAGTGGCTGGTTACTAACGTCACAGCTATCAGGGCCTGCGATCATGTCAATCTCTGTGACCACATTTGTCTGGTCAGGGAATTTCTTCAACACATCGCCCTGTTGTCACAAACATCCACACAGTCAACGTCAAGGCATTCACTGTATACCCGCTTTAAGCATATATAAAACTCTGTACAGAAATGTTCACTACTGTGTACATAAGAAAAATCTTATGACTTAATTGTCCTTTCTAATAGAGAAGCTTTCATAATTTCATTTTCATGCAGATATTTTTCATGCGAAATTAAAAGTCAGTACAAGAAAGAAGTAACTCTGAAGGGAGGTGGCTTCAATAACTTTTATTATGAAACTCTTGTGTTTTACGGAGATTTATGGAGATTTGCAGTTTTCCTCAGTAGAACAGTGGCAACTAACACTTGACAACATGGGTACAAGAGTGGTGTCATTTTCACAAAGACTTGAACGTAAATTTGGTAAAAACAGTTTCCAGAACTAATGAAAGACCAAAGCATTTTCTACAAACAGAAAATAAAAAGCATTTTTTACTGTATTCAACCCAGTGATAGGAAGCAGAATAAAAATATTATTTACATATTTGGTCCACAACAGAGGCTTATGAAGAAAACATTAACTGATCATAATACTACAAACAATACATCAGTTATTTTAAAGAAGTATAGTGCTATATATTTTTTCCTTTAAAGCAAATCTGTAAATAACAGAGCCACATCCATTCCAATTTCTTTAAACACAATCCTTTCAAATCAATAACTAACAAAAAAAAAAGATAAAACAAAACATAAACATTAACATCCATTGAATGCAGTGGAATACAGTAACCATGTTCAGCTAGTTAGAAATCCACAAAAATAGCAACATGTACAGGTTCCAGATTCTTCATAGTGCAAGTAAGTATTGGAAGTATCAGACAGAAAAAACGGATGGGAACCCTATCTCTGTTCCTGGAAGCAATTGGATGTAACTTATTACAAACATAGAGTGTTTAATAAACTTACCTGTATGACGAGATAACGGCCCGGATCACGTGCCATCTTAGCAAACTCTTCAGCTAATTCTTTGAAGGATGGACGACTGTCTGCATCTAACATCCAACCTTTCGAACAAAACATGTTTTTGTAATCAAGCCGTTCCAGAGTGAGTGAGGGAGTGTTTTGGGGTTTGGCACTACTTTCATCCGTGTATTTCAGTCATGGTATGGTCATAATGCTGTCTTAATGTGGGAGGAAATGTGATGTAAGTCAGGCATGTTTACCACTCAGCGAAACTCACTGGACCAACAGATCATAACAAAATTCAAATCAACAAGCGGTAGATTCTGCCAGTGAAAAAGCTCAGGCAACCTTCTGCTCATACTGGCTAGGTTTAGATGCAGACAGACAGATTTGTATTTCAGTACTTGACTTCAACAGCCCATATTACAAAATGCCATGTCATGTCATGACACGCCATGTATTTGTCAACATGTTATATACAGAATAGAAAACAATGAAGGTTTATTAGTGATACCAACAAAAGTATAAGGGGGTCACACAAGTGTTCCCTATTTCTATAACATGTCTTATAAAACTACTGCCACTTAGCTATTGTATTGTAAGTATCTTCCTCTCTGATACTAACCTTGTGAGAGGTACTACTTTCAAGTGAGACTTGCTGAGAGATTTTACATATGAATTGTAAAACCTGCTTTGAGGTTTTACAATTGTGTAAACCTAGGTTTTGAAGTTGAATTTTATAAACAGCCTATTAATGTTTTTCGACTTGTTACATTTTTTTTCACATGAAAATTCCATGTTGAGAATTGAGCCTGCAACCTCACATATTGTGTTCACCACTGCATCCCAATGAGCCACTGATAAAAGTGGTGATGAAAGGTGATCAATCTTACAGGTCATGACTCATGTGGTCTTTCTCTTGCATGCTTTCATTTAGCATTCCTTTTATGTTGTGACACACTGCAATGCTTCACTATAAGGTATCCCATTGTTTTCTTATTCTTTCTGATATTTCTTGCATTTAGACAGTAATAAGAAAGTAAAAACACTGATCAGTTTTGGTTGTAAAAATCTCGACCTCTGGAAAAGCCCTTGGCCCTTTGGCCCTCAGGTTTTTCACTCACATGAGGTTTTACATTTTCAACCCAAACCTCAGAGTTGTGTTTCATCTATAACTTAGAAAACAACCAATACACATAAGAGTCTTTGTGTCGCTAGACTGCTTTAATTACAGACAAGATTCACATATAGGATTCCTACATGTGGAGGGAGACATTGTTGACACGCAGTCAGCACTGGATACTGATCTTCTACATGTCAAGCATGATTAGCATGACAGTATAAACATAGTCTATCAAAATATGCAGATTTGTTATGCCTCCATGTTTTCACACAATCTAACATTATTACATGTTGTTTTGTCATATTCGGGTACTAATAAACTGGCAGATTGATTCCTACGTAAGACAGCAGACCAAACAGGTTGGTGTTAGCACCTTACATCAGGCTTGCTAGTATTGCCATGCAATAAGACTGATCATTTAGTGCCCCTCATGATCTTGACTTCCAACAGTGACAGTGGCAAGCAAGCTATTTGGCTCCATGGCCCCGACCCGATATTAACTTTCGGTACAAATAACATCTTTGAATTCAGTAGACAGACATTCCTTAAATCTTCACATGAAAATCTTCACTTACATTTGATCATGATCATATAGACGTCAATTGTACAGATGGAGGGTTGTGGCAGCCGCTCCCCTTTCTCCAGAAGATCAGGCACGTCGCGGGCGCGGATGCTGTCATATGGCTTCTGACCATATGTGAACAATTCCCACACTGTGACTCCTACACAAAAACATACTTGTCACAAGGGACATAACTCTCATCAGAGCAGGAATGGTAGATGTCTTTCTGCTCGTGGAAATTTGTAATGTTGTACTGACAGGTTAGTTTTAAATTGAAAATATTGCTGAGCTAAGTTTCCGATATTTCTTCCACGTGAAGATCCTGTGACTCACCATAGCTCCACACATCACTCTTGTGTGTGAAGATCCGATGCTGGATACACTCCAAGGCCAGCCACTTGATGGGCATCTGTACACACAAACATGTAGCTCAAACATTCCATGCATCACAAATTCCTACTCATGTATGGCCTACTGTTGAAATACTACTAAATGCTGACATTGGAAAGAAAGTAGATACCTCCTAGTTAAGAATCTGAGATGTTGGCTGATGGCAAGATTGGAACACAAGTTCCACACATATGTAATTATGCAGCAAACACATGTGATGAATGTCCCAAATCCATTCCGATTAGAAACTGTATATTTTGTATATCAATTTTTCCTGCTGCTGTGGAAAATTGTGCACCGATCTGATAAAAGAAATTACTACTACCATTGCTCATCCACCAAAAAACAGGGCAACTCTATCTTTCTTCAGTTGTTTATTAAACAGTTGTTACCAAAGCAAAGTGACTTGGCCTACATCATAAATTAGTTTAAAGAATGGTACCATGACAGTTTTATAAAAAAATAAAATCATTTCACACACTCGCTATTTTGTTGGTTGACGTTGGGGATAAAAACATATTGAAGAAATATGGATGGTTAAATGCATATGATACTTGGCATGCCACAAAAGGAATCAACAGAGGATTAAATCTGGGTCATGGGGACTGGCAATGTTTCTTGGAGTGACTTGGCACGAGGAGCTTTTGGACAAGAGTGTTTCTGTCAAAGAACATTGCTACTGGGCAATGAAATTGTGTGATGGAAACGACAAAAACCTACCTATATCACTTGGCAATATTTTTTACCATTACCAGGGTTTTCACAACTGTTGAATATTTTGAGAAATGCTATTCATAAACTGCAAAATAAACGTACACCACAGGATTGGTGCTGTGATATTTAATAATGATAATGTGATAATGTTGAATGTTTTAATAACACTGCTTTTATTTATCATGACAAACATATTTCGTTCTCATTCAGAGAATACAAACACAAGACTAATTTGTGCGTGTTGGACTGGAATGAAAACATAAATTGTGGACATTCCAAAGTAACATTTTATGAAGATGTGAAGACGACATGGCAGGAAGGTTTTGAAATCGAAGACATACACATCTGTTGAAAAGTCTTGGAATTGTTGATGAATATTTATTTCCAATAATGGTGATTGTCGGATTGCACTTACGTCCTTATTGTTGTCAAACGGCCCTCGTGGGTGGGTGTTTTCATGTCATTTCACGTCACCTGTTTATGCACTAACCAATGAAACTTGTGTGTTATCATGACATCCTACTGACCTGTCAAGATCACTCTTATACGCTCCGCCAACTGAGAGTGAGGCAAGTTCGACCACATGTACCACTATGTGGCATCACTATACTGTGTGACTTCGTATACATATTGCACCCTCTAAGCTTTAAGAATTAAGAATCGGTTCTCAGGCAATGTCTTTTGAAAATATAGTGCGGGCAGGCAGCCTTTTTTTGTTTTTTTGTTGTTGAAACTAGTATGTAACCAAAAAAACAGTTGTGTATAGTCAACCTGGGAAAGGGCCTCCTTACAAAAATATATTCCTTGATGAGTAAAATACTGGAACACAGCATACAACTGAGCAAATCTGTGTTAGAGTATGCAAGGTGGTCCTGTTATTACACTATCTGGCTATAAAAGTGTTCATTGTGTATCTGGACTTATGTTTGAAATCCATCATATTACTTTTATCCAAAATATTCATTCAATTAATTTTGGCAAAATCGTGTATGAACTAATCAGCAGGTCACATAAACCCACCAAGTACTCGCCTTGAAACAAACATTAGTCGTTAGAGATACAAACTTTTCAGTCTTCCTATCACTGTGTTGAAATTTCTTTTCAGTTTTGATATTGACGATGACATTAAGTATTTATTAGACAAAATAACCCTTAGATAGGGGAGAAAATGTGTGAACAGCTGACTGCTATATGTGGCTTATTTTCCGAGACAAATATACATGTAATCTTAATCTCTGTGTATGAAACATTGTCCGCCATACAGTACACAGATACCTTTGAATTTGTAAAACATCATGTCTTGTGATGTTTTATTGTAAATTTCATGTTTTCATTTACCAAAATTGCAAATGGCAAAATAGGCACACAAACTCCTATTGCTGCCTTGACCATAACACAAGATGAGCAGTAAAGCATTGCCCACATCAGTGCTCAGGCGCGGAATATTTAAGGACTTTTTTTAGAAAACGTGCGGCAGACTTTGTGATCATGCAGTGATGCCTGAAAACCAAGACTATTTTTTTAGCCTAATTGAATTAGACTGATGACATCAAACTTAAATATTGGTGCTTGGAAAATACATAATGGGAGAGGATAACAGAGAATGTTCCAGAAGGGTGCTGGCAGTTTTGAAAATTGCATATAACACTGCAGCAACATGTCACCCTGGGGAGGACTGCAGAGACCAGTCCCTAGCAACAAGGCTGACCTTTCCTCCTGCAGCATGGTACTCGTCTTCATTGTAGTCCAGCAACTTGGCCAAGCCAAAATCTGTTATCTTCACTTGGGTCGGAGTTTGTACTGAAATAGTCATGGGTAAAGTGCAATGGTTTTAGATGTTTTAAAAGAAAGAATTGTACCCCAAACCAGTGAGTGCATGAACACATGGTGAAATCAGGCAGTTACATAATCCTTTCAGGTGAAAAGAAATTAAGATAAAATATAATATCACTTTACTTATATAGTGTTGAATGTTTGTTAAAAGGGAAAGCATGACACTGTGAATGTGTGTAACTCACCCAGAACATTCCTTGCTGCCAGGTCCCTGTGGACAATGCCACGGTCTTCAAGATATGTCATCCCCTGGGAATCAAAGCTCTAAGTAAACATTTCAGCTCCAAATCTTGATAAAACTCTATTTCTTCATTTGAAAATATCTCCAAGGCTGTTTAGTTTATCTAGATAACTAAAACCATTATTACCTTTTGAATGAATATGTAAACAGATATAAACTGTAAATCGTGAAATTAATGTGTCTCCAAAAGAATGCGACTGCTGGTCCCTAGCCAAAAATGTGACTCAATATGAATGCGACAACCCCTCCTCTCAAGCATCAGTGGATGTATATCTAAAGAAAAGGTCCTCTGTCTGGTTTACAGGAGAATCCTCACCTTATTGTTGATATAAATGCGATGTTTAATAATGCGAGCAAAGACCACTTGCATTTTTCGCATTTAATTCACACTCGCGTTAATTTCAAGATTTACAGTACATAATTACTAATGCCATTGACTGCAGTGAATGGCCACCTTCATCAGGGTAAAACACCTACCCTGGCTATCTGGGTGCACCAGTTGAGCAACACCTTGGAGCCAATGTGTTCCTTGTTCTTCCTGACATAGTCCAGCAGACAGCCGAGAGGCATCAGCTGTGTGATGAGCATCATCTGAGCCGTCATGCAAACTGCCAGAATACGCACACAACATGGGTGTTCCACTGAAGCCATCACACGAGCTTCCTCCAAAAGTTCCTTGTTCTGATTGGGTGTACCTTCCTGCAGCACCTTGATGGCAACTGGGATCTTCACGTTCTCCCCCTCAGGGATCCAGAAACCCTGCAGCCAGAAGGACAAGCTATGATCAATCGATGAATTAATTACAATCATATTTACCTATACAAATCATATGAATGTACTCTCACAAGATACATGCTACAACATGTACAATTTATGCAACCATTTTAACTATCTATAATTCTATTTTCAATTTCCTAAATTACCCCAAATGTAACGTCCATGCATACCTTATATACTGTGCCAAATGCTCCCGACCCAATGATGCCTCCACGTCTCAGTTCAGACTCTTTGATTAATCTCAGCTGTGCAAGGTCTGGCTTGGCATTTGTTGGAGTCAGAGGCTGAAATGTCAATTTATTCATTAATGCATTCCATTTTATGAAGTATATATCAGATCATAAAGTCAGATAAAGCTAAAGGCAGCATTCCTACCTCAGTCTCATCGAAGCCGGTCATCTTGGCAGTGAGGGCAGCAGTTTTCTCCTTGGACTTGGCCCTCTGGTTCCAGTTGTAGGCTACACACACCAATATGATGCCCACCACCATCACACCACCAATTGCAGCACCAGCAATTATACCAATCTTCTTCTTTTCTTCTCTGGAAGGATTGATACATATATCCCTATATATAAATATAACTCTATTTATCATATATGCATTAACGCTGTAGCTAAGCTACTGTATTTTTCTACATTTCTTGTGCTATATACAAGACCATCCAGCACTGCACTGAAAGAAACAATTTATGTCATGTAGTTCAGTTTCTGATAAACCCACTTGAAAAGTGTTTGCAGTTCATATAAAAACAGAAGCAGTCCCAACCAACCCCACCATTTCCTGAATGTCCCAAAACTCTACCATCAAAAACATATATCATGAGCCATTTTGACCTCTCCACACCAGGTGACAGTCCACCTCACCACCTACCCAATGCAGTACAAGTTTGGAATAAAAAAGCCTATGCAAAAAAATTACTATGGTTGTGCTACAAATAAGAAGCCTCCATACCATATGAAGAACACTGCGGAACCAAAAGATTTGGATTTGCAGTGGCAGAAACATGCATTTCATCTCTGCTTCGATCCATTTCTGTCATATATTTTATTTCAAGCCGCCAACCCTATAAGTAAATGATTCTGAAATTCCACACTTTCTTCAACCAACAGAAATCATTTCTTTTTTTCTTTTTGAAGTGCACACTAATGATTATTTGATCATATACTGTCTACATTTTTTGGCACTCACTCATCCTTCTTGCGGAGTTTGGCAACAACTTCAGGATGTTTGGCATCAGCACACACTGTCCTGGAGGGGTCAATGTTCTGCTTGTCAGTACTGTGGTCCATCACAGTATAAGGTAGTTCGTCAGGACATTCATGTGTACAGTTGAACTGAAGCAAAAAACACAAGTAAATAGCCTGGCACCTCTATGGACCAAGAAAAGATCCTCTCTTTGATCTTGAACTCATTGGTTGTTGCCATTCTATAGCTTCAATATAGCAACGTGAAGAGGAACATACCATAGATCCATCTTCATCAATGTAGATCTTGAGGTTGTTGCAGGCCTGGCAGTTACCGCTGGAGGCTCCGTAGCATCCCCCACGACACTCCTGGTGACAGCTCTCACACTCCTTTGTCTGGTTGTCAGGGTAGGTGAAGGCCGGACAGTGCTCCACACACAGACCCTCACTACGGAAGTAGCGGCAATCCGTACAGTACTGCACTCCGGGACCGTCACATGTCAGGCATCTCTTGTCACATAAACGACACAACTGCAAAGTGGCAAAAGTATTTAGTCAGCAAGTAATGTTTGTAAATTAATATACTTATCCTATCTCACACACTATGCATATCTCACACAATGCCTCTCTCTTTCTTATCAATCCAATGTGGAAAAAGTGCTCATACAAAGGTTTCCAGCTTCTAAAAAAACCCTGACACCACTCACATCACCATGGTCACCTCCCAACAATTTGGGTCACGCACACTCTGCTTGCATGTTGACCTATACAAGGGTAGCCTTATGGTAAAGCTAAACAAAATGATTATGACTTACAATTGATTTGGAATTAAAACCAGCCAATCAATTCTTCAGGATCAGGGTATCTTAGCCTGCTTTGTAACCTGCTTGGCATCTCTTTTAAGGCTTCAATGAACCCTCAAACCAATGCAGGGGTTCAAATTGGTCAGTTCGACGAGAAGAGGAAACGATCTACTATATCCATAAGAGGATCATCGATCCAGTACCCAGCAACACAAGACATAAGGCAGAGGTGAGTGAAATAAAGGATAAGGACAACGGCAAACCAGCCGCACCATATAGCCACTTTGTGACGAAGACCGAAGTCGTGACGAAGACCGAAGTATACAATCAGGTATACGTCAATTTCTAGCTGCGTAGGTGTGTCCTGGAGACCTGTTGTGCAAGTACCAACGTTCCAGATTGGTGTAGACCTTGGACGTCCATCGCAGAAATGGCTCAGAGATAAAAGAACATGAAAACCATATCCAATTTTCAATAACATCCCTCCATAACTGCTGCCACAGTACAATTACTGTGTAAAGCCATAGTAGGGACATAAAGCTCTAAGTAGGACCGAACAAATCCAAAACAAAATCATGGTACAGGATACTTCCATTACTGCTGCTGTAGAGAGTGGGATGAAAAGCCTCTTCCAGAATCGCCAGAGAGGGTTCGCCTAATCAAGATAAAGTTAAAACCTCAAAGGTTGAACAGTAAATAACCAATCAGGTTGGCCTGAAGTTGATTTTTGGCGATAATTCCCATCTCAAGCCCAGGAAAACTTTCCTATGCAAAGAGCATTCAAAATGAACTCTGTTGATGTCTAAGGCATGAATATCACTGAAACCAGCAGCCGTCGCTAGGGCCAAGAGGATAATGGTTCTAAATGTATAATGTGCTCAAAATCTTTCTCAGCCAATAGTTCGTAATTCGAAGTATGATGTTCAGATCCCAGGTCAGGGGATAAAACCGAGAGGACTGGTCCACCAACTTGTACAACCGAATCAAGGATCTTAATTCGGCCACCAGGGAGATCTTTGCACCTGTAGTAGTCGCGACAACGGAGTTAATCGCAGCCAAGTATGTAGCTAAAGTAGAACCTTTAAGCCTACAGGATGTTGAAGATAATTGACAATCTGTTGTTGCAGCAGCAGGTGATAATAGACCGAGAACAATATGGCTTCTGGTCTAGAGTACCCTTTGGCAACAAGGGATTTCTGTAAATGTGCCAAACACACAGATGAAGGGTGTCGAGCGGCAGGTGAAGCAGATGGGAGTGTGGTTGCAAAAGAAGGTAGGTGGTAAAACCCTCTCTCTGCTAGATGGATCAATGGGTGTAGACGCCATTCTGTGGGAGACGCAGTGTATGTGTTTCGTCTGAACCTGAATATTGAGTGAGTCGATCACTTGAAAGAAGTCAAACGTCAGAGACAGTAGTGACATAGACTTTGTTGAGCCCATCTTGTTTATGTACCACACAACGGGTAGGTTGTCCGACTGGATCATCAGGATGGACTCACAAAGATGTGACTCCCAATGTGACACCAGAATCAGTGACAGGTTGTTGATGTGAATCTGGCTTTTGTTGCGAGACCACCACACTGCCACCTGTAGTTCCCACCCTATGTTTGAGGCGTCGATGAAGAGATGTATGATCTGGACCCTGACCCTGAACTGTATCCCTCACACTGTACGGTAGCCCTGACCCTAGCTAATCCTTTACTGTATCCCTGACCCTGGCCTTGTCCAAATCATACATCTCTTCATCGACTCCTTCGCAAACATTTGACGGAGCAATGATGCTGTAGCTAAGTTACTGTATTTGTCTACATTGTTGGTCAAGAGAATTTGTCCACATTGTTGGTCAAATGAATGGCTTCAGGAATCACTGAGTCGGTTGTAAGTGAAATTGACCTCTGCCTGGTGAGAGCCTGTGCTGATGTCAGGAGACCGAGGAGTTGTCAGGAGTGTCAATGGAACAAGGCAATGTATCTTAATCCATCGCTCTTGGGGCACAAACATCTTGCTTAGGCGTGTGTAAATTAGGAGACTGTAACCGATCCCATAATTGATGGAAAGTGCAGAAAGCCTTGTCCAGATTAGATGCCATCTCTGTGAAGATCAGTCTGGGCAGAAGTGTAATGTACGGTGACATAGCTGAAGGGACAACGACAGACCACAAGTCCTTAGTGGAAGTATTCTTCTTAAGTTGAAGCTTGACATAGACTCAGATGAGGACTGTAGCCAAATCAAAACTACCAGTTAAGGAGGCAGGCGATGCATAGTGATCGAGAAGCTCCTCCTCGTGTATCGTTTCGGGACTGGAAGCAGGAGTGGTTGTCAACATCAGGGGAGAAGGCAAATCTGGAGTATGAACTATATTGTCCGATGGCAGTACAGATTTAGGAAGACAAGGTGAGGTTAACGCCTCAAAGATTGACTGCAGCTGGGTAGTGACAGTGGCGCAGTCATACCTGAAGTATGACGAAATGGCAGAAGCGATGGAGAACCTGGAGGGCATAATAGCTAGGGCAGAAGTGTCATGTGCATCGGTAGGGGATGGGCATCTGCTGACAGTAGCAGAGCAGCGCAGGTTGTCTCTGTGAGAGAAGGTTGTTCGAGTATGGTAGTCTGGGTGAGCGGGAGTGTGAGAGGCTGAAGGTAAATCGCTCCATGGATCAAAACGTGAAGAAGCGCTACAACGTCCAAGACAAACGGAATAAATGTCATCGGGATCAGAGGGTGAAAAAATCTCCTGTGTGTCAAGCAAGCTGGATGTCACACTATTTGATCGACTCTGATTTGACACAGAGACAAAATACCAAAAGGCTTAAAAATTATCCTCCGGTACAGAATAAAAAAGTCTCAATCTGTATAGCACCTCACCACACCGTGGCAATTAGAAAGAGAATGAGTTGGCTGGGGAAACATGTGGCTAGTGTGTATAGTTCAACATGCATACAGAATGTGCATGCCCCAGATTGTTGGGAGGTGACTATGGTGACGTGAGGGGTGTTCCGGCAAATTGTCTTTTCAGAAGCTGGAAACATTTGTGTGAGCACGTTTTTCACGTAGTTAAATAATGATGTTTTTTCTATTCAGGGATTTATTCCCAGTGTGTATCAGCTTAATATAAGGAAGTCCAAAGTTAAATATGTTTGGAAAAAAACCCACATGCCAACAGACTTTACCAATGGATCTGAAGCTCAGTGATAATCCCTTCACAGTTAGTTGTGGAGCCTTAGACACTTTGATACTTCTAAGAGTACTGACCATTATTTCTTCTGCCTCATCAAGCAATCCCGTATTTTACCTTTTTGCCTGCCATTGGTCCATGGGCACTGCTCTTCTCCATGCTCATGTAATAACCATTTTCACAGGAGATGGTATCTTTAGGCAGGCAGTAGATATCGGTACCTTTCGCTATCCCAACAACACAGGTGTCACAGCCCCCAATGCCCACAGTCTTCATGTTCCCAGAACATCTGGAAGCAAGCAAAGTCACCAGGTTACATGTCATACTGACCCGGCCGAAGTACTGTATCCCCGACACTGTACAGTATCCCTGACCCTGTACTGTATCCCTGACCCTGTCCCTGTACTGTATCCCTGACCCTGACCCTGACCCTTGCCCTGTACTCTGACCCTGTACTGTATCCCTGACCCTGTACTGTATCCCTGACCCTGTACTGTATCCCTGACCCTGTACTATATCCCTGACCCTGTACTGTATCCCTGACCCTGTACTGTATCCCTGACCCTGAACTGTATCCCTGACCCTGTACTGTATCCCTGACCCTGAACTGTATCCCTGACCCTGTACTGTATCCCTGACCCTGTACTGTATCCCTGACCCTGACCCTGTACTGTATCCCTGACCCTGTACTGTATCCCTGACCCTGAACTGTATCCCTGACCCTGTACTGTATCCCTGACCCTGTACTGTATCCCTGACCCTGGCCCTGTACTGTATCCCTGACCCTGACCCTGTACTGTATCCCTGACCCTGGCCCTGTACTGTATCCCTGACCCTGGCCCTGAACTGTATCCCTGACCCTGTCCTGTATCCCTGACCCTGTACTGTATCCCTGACCCTGGCCCTGTACTGTATCCCTGACCCTGGCCCTGTACTGTATCCCTGACCCTGAACTGTATCCCTGACCCTGTCCTGTATCCCTGAACCTGTACTGTATCCCTGACCCTGTACTGTATCCCTGACCCTGGCCCTGTACTGTATCCCTGACCCTGGCCCTGTACTGTATCCCTGACCCTGAACTGTATCCCTGACCCTGTCCTGTATCCCTGAACCTGTACTGTATCCCTGACCCTGTACTGTATCCCTGACCCTGGCCCTGTACTGTATCCCTGACCCTGACCCTGTACTGTATCCCTGACCCTGTACTGTATCCCTGACCCTGTACTGTATCCCTGACCCTGTACTGTATCCCTGACCCTGGCCCTGTACTGTATCCCTGACCCTGACCCTGTACTGTATCCCTGACCCTGTTCTGTATCCCTGACCCTGTACTGTATCCCTGACCCTGGCCCTGTACTGTATCCCTGACCCTGACCCTGTACTGTATCCTGACCCTGTACTGTATCCCTGACCCTGTACTGTATCCCTGACCCTGTTCTGTATCCCTGACCCTGTACCGTATCCCTGACCCAGACACTCTTCTGTACCTGTTATAGGCATGCATATCTATTTGTTGTACTTTAACCCAGCAAGACCCCAAAAAATGGGCTAATAAGCAAATGGGAAAGAAAACTATGAAATGTTAGTCTGTAAATTTTTATCCACTGAAATCTGCCGTATAGATGTTTAATGTTCAGATGCAGTGGTAACTGACCTTTGTTCACAGTGAGGATGACACATCTGGCAGATATTGTTCTCTCCGGCGTACATGTTTGGAGGACATTCATCCAGACACACATTCTTCTTGGATGCAATATCTTTTATTTCAACATCAACGACAGTAAAGTTGCGACAGCCTAAGCATTCCCAGTTGTCCTGAACACAACAGACAGATGTACAATGACATGCATGCTATTATCATTTCCCATTTCCTAAAGGATACAGATTCTTTAAAGGATGAGCCTGCCCTAAGCTTTGCAAAAGTGAAAAGAACAAACAAAAACCAAAATATTTAACCTCTGAAATATTTCTTATTTTAAAATAATAAAAGAAATTAACCATAAATAAACCTTGAAAATATATATATTCTGCATCTTGGGAAATTGACGAAGCACCCCATAAAAGATGAAACAAACTAGTCTGACATTAAGATAAACTAATTTCTAAGATTGAAGCCCATATGCAACTTACAGGACCAGTACAGCTACTTGCACACTGGTCGTTGCATGGGTGACAGATCCCAATCTTGGAACCATTTGTTGGCTGCTCTTCATAGAAGTTGTAGATGTCTGTGCAGGAGGCAACACACAACTTCTTGTTAGCAAGCATCTTGTTGCGACAGGATACACACTTGTTGGCCCCAACACCCCAACAGCCATGGCTAGAGCACTCCCTGCTGCACACCTGGCCATCCTTGGCTGAAGGAGACACAACACTTCAAATAGCACCGATCAACATATAACAAATGTTCACAATTTTCGCTTTACATGACAGAGAAGATCAGCTTTTCAAAGAAAATACCAACTACATGTACAACAGAACACAAAATAACTAATAACAAGAGTTTGCCACTAATGTGGCTATATCCCCCGCCCCTGTTGCAGAATTTATGAATTAAATCTAAACACATCCTAACCTTTTTTAACGGAGGTGGAACTTGTAATGGAAATTGTAAAAAAAGAAGAATTTGGAACCTAAGTCCATCTTGTTGCCATAGAAACGTAAAAAATAAAAATTTCTAAAATTTCTAAATAGCAAAAGGCACAAGTTCAGCATGTACCTGACAAACCTGCAAAGTTTCATTATAAAAATACTGAACGGTTTATGAGTTATGCTCCTGAAACGGACCCTACCCTCACCAGAACCTAAGTCCATCTTGTTGCCATGGAAACGTAAAAAATAAAAATTTCTAAAATTTCTAAATAGCAAAAGGCACCAGCTCAGCATGTACCTGACAGACCTGCAAAGTTGCATGAAAAATATTGAACGTTTTATGAGTTTTGCTCCGGAAACGAATCCTACCCTCACAGAACCTAAGTCCATCTTGTTGCCATGGAAACGTAAAAAATAAAAATTTCTAAAATTTCTAAATAGCAAAAGGCACCAGTTCAGCATGTACCTGACAGACCTGCAAAGTTTCATGAAAAAATATTGAACGGTTTCTGAGTTTTGCTCCGGAAACGAAACGTGACGGACGGATGGAGCCCGTTTCTAAATCCCCCGCGAACTTTGTTGGGCGGGGGATAATAAATTGTTAACTGCTTTTGTATTGTGGGACACCCCCAGTATATTGACCAAATGACAATGTGGGCAATAGTCAAATATATACCATATATCACTGTGTATAAGGTGACTTTTTCTAACCTTGACTAAGGGGGATTTGAAGTGGGGGTCATCCTATACACAGGGTTGAAGATCTCACATTGTTTGGAAGCTGAAAAACTTTTAGGTTCCACTGGCGATGTCAACCGGTCTTTGATAGATAGCTTTGCACTGATGTTGTTTGAGAGTACAACTTTGCATTTCATCAAAGATAACTGTTCTGAGAACTAAGTTTTGTCTATAAACACCAATTGTATCTGATTTCCTTGTTCATACTATATAGTTTCTGAAAATAAAGTTTGAATGAGCCTCACATTCACCTGGATTGCCATGCCAGCTGACACAGTGAAAACAAATCACTATCGCTATCACTATCAGCAGGACGATCTCAAATTATCAGACATCCCTTTGGTATAACATTTTCCTGATATATAACTATTTCATTTAAGCCTTCACTGCATATCCATTGTTTCCATACAGAAACATCTTAATATATGGTTTAATCATCCAAAACTGGCTCCCACAGAAGATATTGCTTGGGTTAGATCAAGGGCTATCTACATTGTAGAATGTTAACTGTATCACAATGCTTTGCAGAACATTGTGACATCATTAGTTACCATGACGTCACAACGAAATGACTTCAGTAATGACTCTGCTACTGAAACTGTTAGCAGTACTTTTAAAACTTAAAACACTGATTATTACTGTCTACAAATTGAAAAAGTTGGAAGAATGATGTTGGATGATAAATAGAATCTCACCCTCACCATATCAAATATATCAACATTTGTCGACAAAAGTTTAAAACTCCACAGCAAGCCTCAGAGTTTTAAACTTTTATCGATCAGTTGCACATGTGATATCTAACCGGTGGAGCAGAAATCAATTCCCCTTGTTTTTACATCAAATAGCAAGTTTTGGAGAAGGTGTGTATTTGAGACAATATTATCCCATTGTCTCACTTATGTTAGTACTTAAAATGGATGTTTTTCATGGTCACTAGTTTGGAGTCACACTGTGTCAACACACAAAATGGTGGTGTGTGCTGGAGTTATACGTGACCAAGCATAGTATGAAAAATACAATGGACGACAAACATGTTTTTATTGCAAATTGCAAATGTAAGGATTGTGTATGTGCTGGTGAAGTGCTTCATTCTTGATTGCTTTATTGATAGGGTACATAAATTAGCATCAATTGTGAAGGTATTTACTGGGGGGTCCCCTCATAGACGGTATATCCAATAAAGTTCTTCATGAAGAGGGCAATTGGACTACTCACTACAGTTGATCTCGAGCCTGTTGCTCCTGACTTCAGCTACTTGTTTAGGATTGTGCAGGATTCCAGCCCAGTTGACTGAGTCTGCCAAACACAAGTCTTTGTTAGCAATAATCCAGATGTCTCCGTTCTTCACAGACCTCAGTGATGACAACTCCAGTGTTTTCAGCGGTGTCATGAGGATGCCGAGACTCTGCTTGCTACTGCAAGTCACCAACACAGAAAGAAATTGATGAAGAGAAAGACATGGATCAATATATATTACACATATATCAGAGACACTAATTGCAACTGTCAACAACACACAGACACCTTGCTACTGAAGGGAAGAGGTGTCATTCGTCATATTTCATTCATACTTTGAAGAGCAATCCATCTTAACAATCATTTTTTTTTTTTTAAAACAATCGTTTTCAGGGTTTTTCCTTGACTTACAAAAATGGGGGTCCATTGGACCCCCCATAATTAATTTCAGGGGTCCTTACAAGAAATATGAGGGTCCTGTAACGTAATAAAATGATGTAGTGTAAGAATTGATAATTAACTTGATATATATATGCCTTTATATTTCTTGTTAAGAATTTGGTACAATGAATATTACAGTGCACCATGAGGGATGCACTACACTTTCATTCTGCATCCTTTCTATACATTTGTGTGTAATGGACGAACATTTCTGCATCATGTAAAAAACAATACTACCCTAGAGAAGTGGCTTACTTTGTTTCTCTGCCATGAATGACCTCCAGACTTGAAAGGAAAGAGAGGTCAGTGAAGTTCTTGTGATCTGCTTGTATCACAACATAGCCTGTGATCTCGCGGACAGTTTTCAACACTTTCAATTCCTCTGGATTCATTGGGGGAATTTCTCGATGTTCATCGCTGCAAACAAACAAACGATAATATATATTCTGTCAAATATTATTCTCATTGACTTTTGGAGTTAATTAGGAGATAAACATACATTGTACTGTGTTTTCATTGTAGAGCTAAGTTACCTGCAGATTTAACAGCGCTAAATTGAATTTGGAACTGAACACACAGCTCTACATGTTTATCTCCATTCTACTATGACTAAATAAAACCTGAACTCTTTGGTGTCAGCAAATATATTGAGTGAAGCGGCATGGGTTGAGTCCAGTGTTTTGACTGGGTTGTTAATCAGAATTACGGAATCACCAACAACAGCCTGTAACCAAAATATAGTGCTCTATATGCTCAAGCGCTTTGTTTACATCGTAATACTTCACTGGAACTTATGGCAGGCTCATAAGCATGGCAACTTGAGGTGGGCACCCCTAAAGAAAACTTAGCAAGCTTTGCAAAGCTTTCATTCTACGCTGCACGTCACCATTATGACGTCATATCACTCATTTCACAGTCCTATATACAGAAACTGCAAATTCCAAGCTCTTTCTTGTCCCCAAAATTTAAAATACATTCTTTTTGTTAATTTCTACACATCCTTTGAATATTGTAATAACCGCAACTTAACATTTTGTAGATATAATTATTTAAATATGCCATGTTAAATATGACTGAAAACAAGTACTATGCTAGGAATATTAGCCTCCGCAGTGATGTGGCCGTCAAACCGGCTCTTTCAGTCAGAGTTTTTTTTTTAATTGTGATTTAATAGCCTCTGATTGACCAATCAGAATCGAGTAATTTCCAATTTTGTTATTACATCATAATTCGGCATAATGACCGAGGCTACACAAAATTAATTACCTGATATATGAATAATCAAGTTGTCAACTAATTATTTCAGGAAGCGAAAGGAGAAGTGGTATCACCTTACCCATCAAAAGTGTTCTTGAGAATGCGCAGATTTCCCTCTATAGTTGTGCAGCCAGTATAGTTGTTGATGCTGTGTGCGTGAAGCCAGTCGTTGTTCTCCACACCCTTACACTCTGTTTTCAAGGACAGATATTCATGTGGGGATTGTTTACAATCAACATGGGAAAGGGTCTCCCTACATAAATGTATTCCTTGATGATTACATACTGGAATACAGTATTTGACTACCGTTGGACCACCATAATACATACATACAATGACCTTCTATTTTATTTCACAATGCGAAGATTTCATCGTGAGCACCCAACACCAGAAGTAGCATGTCAGTATATCCATGCATATCCAGTCCTGTTATTACATTATCCGGCAATAAAAGTGTTCATTGTGTATCTGGACTTACGTTTGTAATCCATTATATTACTTTTATAAGATTTCATTTGATTTTTTACATTAATTTAGGCAAAATCGTGCATGAAGTAATCGGCAGATCGCATCAACTCACCATGAACTCGCCTTGAAAAGAACATTAGTCTTTAGAGATACAAAGTTTTCGGTCTTCCTATCATGGTATTGAAATTTCTTTTCAGTTGTGATATTGGCCATGACATTAAGTATTTCTTAAACAAAATCACTCATTGATAGGGGAGAAAATGTGTGAACAGCTGATTGCTATATATGGCTTATTTCATGAGACGAATACACATGTGATCTTAAATCTCTGTGTATGAACCGGAAGTTGTCCGCCATACAGTACACAGATACGATTGAATTTGTAAATCATCACTTCTATTGATGTTTTATCATGAATTTCATGTTTTCATTTACCAACTTTGCAAATGGCAAAACAAGCACACAGACTCCTATTGCTACCATGACCATAACAAAAGATGCGCAGTAAAATAGTATGCATGTAAAGGGAAGTAACGACATGCTATGTTGGATCGCATTGTTTTTAAGTATTGTAGCATTTCACTGCCGATGTCGTGTGTTCAAGACGCGGAATACTTAAGGAGTTATTTTTTTTAAATGGAAATGAAAATGAAACATACGGCAGACTTTGTGATGATGTAGTGGTACCTGAGAACCAAGACTATTTTTATTTTTAGCCTTAAGGGTTAAAGCATGATATTTAATAGTGATAACAAATTTTAATTGTGTTTAACCTGTACTGAATAAGTGTCAAACAATATTTATCATTGTTAATAATTCTAAGAATACTACCTCTATTACATCTTTGCCATAAATCCTATATTTTGGCTTCAGTCACACCAACTAAAATTTTCAGATTTTCAACAGATGTCCTCTTCACTGTCAATAACACAATTAGTTGTTCCCAAATAGCATCATAACCAATCAAGCTATGACGTGCGTAATGACGGGAAACCTCACTTCTTCCCACATCTAACCACTAGAGATAGATGAATTGGGGAGGTGGGTGGGAGTACTTGCAATGTAATAGCGGTAGTATTCTTAGAATTATCAACAATGATAACTATTGTTAGATAATTCTTACAAAACTTACTACCACTATTACATCTTTGCCAGAATAAATCAGAGGAACCCGGTGGGATCTGCCTCTAGTAACTCCCTGTGTAATTGACAGTATTCTCTTCTGGAAACAATTATTCTCTGATTCTAATCCTAACTCGAGATAATTTTCCCCTGAAATTCCCCCTAAGGACTTGAATATCAGAATGCATCAAGAATCAGTCAAATATGTAATATCTTCACTAGAATTACCGTTATATTTGCTGATCTTGTTGGCAATAAGTCATTTCTGGTCTATTTCCACCAAATGATGTCATTCCTAGTTAAATTTGGATTTGTGACACTAACACCGGTGCTGACGTCACTTCCGGTTTATCACATCCTATATCTTAGATAATGATGTCTCTCAAGGTCTAATTCTAGCAAAGACGTCATTTCCTGAATAGTTAACCTTGTACTGCTATTTCTGCTGCTGACGGCACTTCCAGTCACTAAAGGCAGTGATACTCAAGGTGAACTAAATCCATCCTACACCTAACAAACAGGATAAACAAGGGTGTACTCACCCTCTGAAGCTGCTGGTTTCCGATCCCTTGCCCCTTGTGCTTGTGTATAACTCTCTGCAATGGTATTCTTAAGCCATCCCACTATTGGTGATGTCTTTGTTGAATTGAGTCTTGCAAGATATGAAAAGTCTCCTTTGATGGCGGCTATGTGGGTCTGTAGCCAAGAGCCACCTTGTGGATGACCTTGTCTAGGAGGGACCATGGTGGAAATGAGTAAGCAAACAGACCCATTCAGTCCAACAATAGTGAGTTGATCTGGTGAGCTCTTGGGTCGGGGATTGGGCTGACATAGATCGGAAGTTGATGATTCAGGCAGATGGCAAATAGATCTAGGTGTGGTGTGTCCAATAATGTGGTTATCCAAGCAAAGGTCTGGGGATGTAGTCCATTCTGTTGCCACTATTCTCCCCTGGTGGGAAAGGTTGTCTACAATGTTCAATTTCCCGGGTATATGTCTCGCTTCCATCCGGCAATTGATGGAGTCTGCCAAGGCAAACAATCGTGTAGTCTACGTCATCAAAGAGCTGGATCTGGTTCCTCCTTGTTTCTGGATGTAAGCCACTACTGTGGTGTTGTCCGTGGCTACAAGGATGGATGATTGAGATAGACGTATCTTCCATGCTAGCATGGCATAATAGATTGCCTTCATTTCCTTGCAGTTGATATGAATGTTCTTCTCTCGTGTGCTCCAAGATCCCTGTACTGTGAGATCATCCATATGAGCTCCCCATTCCGAATCTGACGTGTCTGTGAATAGATGGTGTTTAGGCATCGGATAAGTCAGAGGGATGCCGTAGGTAACTGAGTCTGGAATTCTAGGGTCTGGGATCTTAGTGAATTGCTCTATGTCTGTAGAGGACGTAGTTTCAGCCTTCCTCTGAAGGTCATATCTGGTAGAGACATTAAGTTGCCTAGAAGAGACATCCACCACCTGGTGGGTTGACTTGATAGTGATTGAATCATCGATCCTCTGGTGGGCTTACACATCCCTTGTCTAGTTGGAATCTTACTCTGATGTATATGATGTCTTGAACTGGAGTAGTCTGAGACTTGGAAGGATTGACTAGGATAAGGTGGGCCAAGAATATCATGTTCTGGTGTAGCTGAGCTTCCTCTTGTTCTTCAGGCAAGAAATCATCCAGGTACCCATGAATTCAAACTAGCCGGAGACAAGCAAACCTGACAACTGGCGCTGTAATCCTGGTGAATAGCCAAGCAGCTATTGATATCCTGATTGGTAAGACATGGAACTCAAAACATCTACCATTTATCCCGAAGCGTAGATATTTGCTGCTGCTTGTCTGGCTCCGACTAGATGTAATCTGCGACAGCTTGGGTCTTCAAAGCAGGATGTTTCCTGAAGTGCAGTTTGTATCCATGAGCCACGACGTCTAGAAACCAGTGGTCGGGCGTAACTTCCTTCCAATTTTCGGCGTATAACAAAAGTCGGTATTATGTTGAAAGACGGTAGGCGTAAATAGCAATCCATAGACATAACCAGGTCGAAAGGGTTAATAACGTTGGCATAGGTGGCAGGGAAGTCAGAATTTACGTTCGCCTCTGCCTCCAAATCTTCTATGTCGATAGGAAACTTGTTTCTTGTAGCATGGCTGACAAAAAGATTACTGAGAAGATTGGCATTTGTCATACCCCCGACTTGGTTGGAATGAATCCTTACCGGACGGGACAAACTTCTTCTTAGGAGGCTGTTTGTAAGGTGAGTCTTTCTTGTCCCAGGAACCCTTCTGGGGGTGGGAAGTTCCATGAACCTTGGCAGCTATGCTGATAGTTGGGAGCTGATACGGGTTCTGACATAATCAACCTCTTTGTTTGGTTGGAAACGGCTTTAGAATGAATCTGGGCTAAGAGTTGTTGTCACTGCAGCCATAATAGCTGAGAAGATATCCAGACTTGTGGAGAGTAAGTCTTCCTGCATTCTTACAATAGTATCTAGTAGGCTGTGAATGAGTCCGACTTGATAGTCAAAGGCATATCTCCGCTTATGCCTTCATACAGTGTCTGTAATGGCGGAATGATGTGTCTGATTCCGGCGACAAACCAGTTGATACAAGCACCAATGTCCAGGGAATATCTGGAGGCCGATGACATATCCTTAACCCGCTAAGCAGGTAAGGTGACATTTGTACTAGGGTTGCGTACTAGCTTCAAGAAATCCACATCCAAACTTGGATATTCCAGAAGTAGAGCATTGAGTGTCTAAAATAACTTCTGTTTCAATGGTGGTAAGGGTAGTCGTTCCTCATGTCTAAGACATCTCAGACATCTGGTCTACAACCTTGCCTGCGCAGCTCGGCCAAGGTAATGTCTAGTGGATGTGTTGAGAAGACGTGGGAGCGACGCAATCCCCATGCGGTTCATCCTCTGCCGGTGTCCAGGATTCCGGTATGATCAAAGTCTGTGCTGCTTGTGATAGCTGCCCGTAAGTAACGATTCCCGTACTGTGATCCTCCTCTCTGTCAGTATAACATTGGGATGGACGGTCCCGTGTGGCCTGTGACGCTGGCTTGGGTACCGTCTGCTGATGAAGATCATACAGTAGGGCTATCAACTGGGCGGCTGGTGGATTAGCCGTGACGTAATGGTTGGCTGGGTGAACAGCTGGTCAGCCGGCTGAGATATCCTGGAGTCTGTGTGGTGGTCGTCAATCGGTGCCAGAGCTGCTAACTTCTCCATTTCTATGTTGATTTGAGAGAACTTTGTCTTAAACGTCGTCTTCATCATATCTTGTTGCTGTTTGTATCAAGCTCATAGAAAGAGATGGATCTGCTGGTCGACTGGGCGTAGAGGAGGGAGGCGCTGGGGAAGCGGCTGGGGACTGAAGAGTGTCAGTAGTCGTGATGACCTCTACTTTCTTCTTAGCCACTTCCTGCCTATTAGCCTTCATGACAGCCTCTGTTAGCTTCTGGAAGGCCTTCTTAGAAGTATTGGCGCACCGCAAACACCTCACCTCTTCAGTACATATCGTACCTCTGCACCTTGTGCAGTTAAGATGAGGATCTCCCATGATCATGAATTGACCACGCTTCTTGCAACCAGGAGTTGAGGCAGTATCCATTAAGACCTCATAGCAAGCACCTAACACCAGCTATACTTATGTGCGTGCGATCGTCACTCCAGCTAGCAGTATCATAATATGTACTTTAAATGTCTGTTCTATAGAAAACTATTAGAATAATCTTAGACTAATGTGACTAAATACCAAGTGCTTGATCACTACAACTATAATATAGGTGTTGACTCTAGCACACACAGGGATGAAATGAAGGTTCCCGCCATTGCATACGTCATAGCTATAGCTTGATTGGTTATGATGCTATTTGGGAACAACTAGTTGTGTAATTGACAGTGAAAAGGATGTCTGTTAAAAAATCTGAAAATTTTAGTTAGTGTGACTGAAGCCAAAATACAGGATTTATGGCAAATATGTAACAGAGGTAGTAAGTTTCGTAAGAATTATTATCAATATATCACAAACATGCAAAGGTAATGACAATCATCCATATATTTGACTTACTCTTTGGACAAGGGCCATTGCAGGGCACGCATGAGTTTCTCTCAGTGGTGGAGCCATCTGGACATGACCGAACACATGCTCCAAGATCTTCCAGCAGATGTTCTGGGAACAGATGAAATCAGTAGGACTATTAGACTGAATAAGCACAAAATAAAGTATTTTTTTAGAATCCTAGAATTTGTCCTCAACAGAACATGGATACCTTATTTGACGTAATAAGCGCCCAGGGCGCTCTCAAAATTAGAGAAGGGGGCTCTCATTTGAATATTATTTTGTCGGAAAAAAAAGAGTTGAAAGATAAATTTCGCGGTTTAGGCTGACAGCCAGAAATGTTTATATACGAGAGATATATTTTTCCAGAATTTAATTGCCCATAATTAAGGGTGCATATAACACATGAGTGCTTTTTATAGGCGAATAAATATGTATTGTGTACAATAATCAATCGGAAAGGGTGCTACTTGGGATTGTTCACGAGCCAATATATTAGCAAATATTGCCGTGGGCGCTTATTACGTCGAATCCGGTACTCTTGCACACTGCATGTTAAATTACACATTGATACATGAATCACTGTCTGAGAAGCAGGCCAAAATCACGTCATGAGATAGTGATATTTTGGTTTCAGAGATGTTAAAAATGATCCAATGGTGATGTCATCTGTACAGGCCTTGTGATTGCCGATAAGAAGACAAAGAAATAAAAAGTTTATTTTTGACGAAGGATTATATAGGTGCCAGAGAACATTATCTCACACAAAACCTTTAGCTGGTTCAGGTGAGCTACATGTGATTTATGAAGTAAGCATATATCTGCTGAATGACGAACGTAATAGCTATATGTATGCTGTGCCTATACTGTACCTGGACACTTGCTGACACAAAGGGACCCATATGTGAATCTGGCATTTGGGTTTTTTACCAGCTTGTACAGATTTGGGTCGTAGATGTGTTGTGGAGGGCAGTAAGGCTCACAAGCCCCATCATTGTTGAAGTTCCGACATGCCTGAAAACAAGTCAGTATTGTTCACAACAATTAACATGTACATAAACCATAACTGCCCCGTTTTTTCATGACTGACAGAAAAGCAATAATGTCAATTTCAGTGTAAAAGAGTAGGTCAAAATGGGATTAGATAGCAATAAATATCTTAAGCCAAATACAGGTAGTATTATTTTGGCAAACAAATTCCATCAATGATGTCAGGCAAAAACTGCTGTTACTAATGCAGTCAACCTGGCCCACAGTCTTGGTCTGATCAACTGCTGCATTAAATGTCAGAGAAATTGTGATGTTTAAATACACAGAACATCAAATGTAACGACAGTCAGCAAATGTGTAAATAAGAACTCAATTATAAGGGATAATTTGAATAATGTGTCACTCATAAAATAATATTGAAGGGTTTGTTCCAAGTTCCTCCCACCAGGCAGTCTGTTTTCTTGGGTCCTGTGCATGCCCCTGCACATTCCTTGTGACAGCACTGATTTTGCAGCTTTCCAAAACATCGGCCTTCACAGGAACCATGGCACTCTTCACCTGATGTCACTGAAAGCAGAAACACCACAAAGTTACCTCCCTTTCATCAATATGCAGGCCACAGTCATGAACTGGTGGCATCTGTACAGAAACAGACATTATTTTCCCTGATGTGAAATCTTTCTTAATTTTATACTGTAATAAGAATTACCTATTCTGCAATGAAATGACTTTACATGACATAGAAAAAGAATACAAGAAATGACTTCATTGTCATCTCCTGTCTCCTGCTAATTACATAATTATGCATCGTTAAGTTTTACAAAATGAAATAGTCTGACTTTGCACAAAGGTTAAAACCGTTTGTAACTTTAAAGTTAATGGTTGAGAAGTAATGCTTACATTGTTGGCACATGTTTTTTCCAGAACCCCAGCAATGGCGCTGTCGAGTTGATGGCTGGTAGCAAGATTTATCACATTCCTTGCCTGCAAGATAATAATACCCTCACATCATCACCTGACACAAGGAACTAGAGGGAGGGGATATATAACATAATTACACCCTCATATCATCACCTGACACAAGGAACTAGAGGAAAGGGGACATGTTACATAATTACACCCTCATATCATCACCTGACACAAGGAACTAGAGTGAAGGGGACATGTTACATTATTACACCCTCATATCATCACCTGACACAAGGAACTAGAGGGAAGGGGACATGTTACATTATTACACCCTCATATCATCACCTGACACAAGGAACTAGAGGGAGGGGATGTATTACATAATTACACCCTTATATCATCACCTGACACAAGGAACTAGAGGGAAGGGGACATGTTACATTATTACACCCTCATATCATCACCTGACACAAGGAACTAGAGGGAGGGGATGTATTACATAATTACGCCCTCACATGATCACCTGACACAAGGAACTAGAGGGAAGGGGACATGTTACATTATTACACCCTCATATCATCACCTGACACAAGGAACTAGAGTGAAGGGGATGTATTACAAAATTACACCCTCATATCATTACCTGACACAAGGAACTAGAGGGAGGGGATGTATCACATAATTACACCCTCATATCATTACCTGACACAAGGAACTAGAGGGAGGGGACATGTTACATTATTACACCCTCATATCATCACCTTACACAAGGAACTAGAGGGAGGGGATGTATTACATAATTACACCCTTATATCATCACCTGACACAAGGAACTAGAGGGAGGGGACATGTTACATTATTACACCCTCATATCATCACCTGACACAAGGAACTAGAGGGAGGGGATGTATTACATTATTACACCCTTATATCATCACATGACACAAGGAACTAGAGGGAGGGGACATGTTACATTATTACACCCTCATATCATCACCTGACACAAGGAACTAGAGGGAGGGGACATGTTAAATTATTACACCCTCATATCATCACCTGACACAAGGAACTAGAGGGAGGGTATAACTTACATCATTACACCCTTATATCCTTTTTATGCACCACTGCTTGTGGCTCCTGGTATAAAACCTAATGCTGGATGCATAAAAATGACGTACCCTGAGTGATACTGTTACAACTTGTATAATAACACGCTCAAATTCTTGACTGACACAAGAAATTAGAGGGAGAGGATATACTTCATTATCACCTTGTACACATTGTTTTCATGTATGGTTGGTTTTGAAAATCTATCATGGTGCCAAAAGAGCTTGTAAAAGCTGTCAGCACCCTATACCTAAATCACGGAATCACTTTGCATACACACTTTTAGATATTATGATTTAAGTAAAAGATTTGAGATATCAATTATTTTATTGTATGTACCATGATATTGTTACATCATTCACATAATGTATTAGAGTATAAATCATAATATCCATAATACCAATTCAGTTACTGCTCACCAAAATCTTGGTGATATAAACTTTGAGTTGTGACAATGAATAAATAATGAATAAATAATGAATGAATAATAAATGAGCTATCATACCTCATAACACTTGGAATATGACACAAAGATTAATTGATTTGTTGTAGCAAGCGTCATGTAATACCTCATAAATATGTTCTGTAGTTCTGAATATCAGACAGAAGGTCAGACAGACGGAGTGATGGCGGACAGACCAATGACATAAGTTCAATTTGCAATTCGACAATGTCAAGGTGAGCTAAGAATGATAGCTAACTGCATGATTTAACTTTCTTGTACCTATAAAGGTTAACTTATGTCCATTTTAATTTTTCTGAACCCTTATATTAACAATGTCAGAATCTTGGGAGGTACTGTTGCTAGCATGTCCATCATCTCCTTCAACACACTGTCACCACCAGTCCTACCAGGCAAGACATTGCTACACCATGTCTATTTTCTTCTTGTATCATCTGCAAGGAAGTCTGGTTATTTCTTGTTCAATATTTCAGATGATCAGGACTAGGAATAATTATCTTCTTCACTCCCTTATCTTCTAAACATTAGATTTCCACACGAGATATTAAGTTGAGATGTTTTTTTCCTAACAAAGTCCCAGAACATCATTAATATAGGCCCTGAGCTATCACAAGCTTTGGAAACAAACCAGCATGTCTCGTAATTCTATAATTATCTTTATACATGCATAATCTCATTTTCACTTTCCCCAAGCAACAAAAACTAAGAAGACTTTTTTCTTAACTTGTTGGACACCAAGACAGTGACACAGCTAGAACCTTGAACATGTGTCATTCTAATGAATTTGACAAAGACAAATAATATCCTATCTGTTTAGGTATAGGTGAGAGCGAGGGAACAGAAGGATGGGTGGACAGAAAGGAATCAGTGTAAAGAAACCCTGGACAAATATAACATTTCTGTGTTGTTCTATTTGTTCAGCATAATCTGGTTGAAATGTAAATGGTGAGAAGATGGATCAAGTTAGACTTAAGGTTTACTGCAGCTGTGATGTCTGTAATATTAGAAAAATCACAGAGCAGCCCAAGGGAACTTCTGTTGATTGGGATAGATACTTGGACTGACTTACTTTGAAGAAATGGGTTTACCCAAACTTAGAAATATCACAGAGATGCATTATTCCCAAAGGACTTTCTAAGCTGTACCTATTTGAGGAATCAAACCTAGGTTTGAGACATCCTACATGAATGCAGCAGAATAAACCAGGCTATCCCACTGATGGCATGATAAACACAGATGGAAGATCAAGGCAAGCTAGGACAGAGATCTACTGTGTGATGGACAGGTGGAAGATCATGGCAAGCTAGGACAGAGGTCTACTGTGTGATGGACAGGTGGAAGATCATGGCAAGCTAGGACAGAGGTCTACTGTGTGATGGACAGGTAGAAGATCATGGCAAGCTAGGACAGAGATCTACTGTGTGATGGACAGGTGGAAGAACATGGCAAGCTAGGACAGAGATCTACTGTGTGATGGGCAGATGGAAGATCATGGCAAGCTAGGACAGAGGTCTACTGTGTGATGGGCAGATGGCAGATCAAGGCAAGCTAGGACAGAGGTCTACTGTGTGATGGACAGGTGGAAGATCCAGGCAAGCTAGGACAGAGGTCTACTGTGTGATGGGCAGATGGAAGATCAAGGCAAGCTAGGACAGAGGTCTACTGTGGGATGGACAGGTGGAAGATCCAGGCAAGCTAGGACAGAGGTCTACTGTGTGATGGGCAGATGGAAGATCAAGGCAAGCTAGGACAGAGGTCTACTGTGTGATGGACAGGTGGAAGACCAAGGCAAGCTAGGACAGAGGTCTACTGTGGGATGGACAGGTGGATGATCATGGCAAGCTAGGACAGAGGTCTACTGTGTGATGGACAGGTGGAAGATCAAGGCAAGCTAGGACAGAGGTCTACTGTGTGATGGACAGATGGAAGACCAAGGCAAGCTAGGACAGAGGTCTACTGTGTGATGGACAGGTGGAAGATCATGGCAAGCTAGGACAGAGGTCTACTGTGTGATGGACAGGTAGAAGATCATGGCAAGCTAGGACAGAGGTATACTGTGTGATGGACAGGTGGAAGATCATGGCAAGCCAGGACAGAGGTATACTGTGTGATGGACAGGTGGAAGATCATGGCAAGCTAGGACAGAGATCTACTGTGTGATGGGCAGATGGAAGATCAAGGCAAGCTAGGACAGAGGTCTACTTTGTGATGGACAGGTGGAAGATCAAGGCAAGCTAGGACAGAGGTCTACTGTGTGATGGACAGGTGGAAGATCATGGCAAGCTAGGACAGAGGTCTACTGTGTGATGGACAGGTGGAAGATCAAGGCAAGCTAGGACAGAGGTCTACTGTGTGATGGACAGGTGGAAGATCATGGCAAGCTAGGACAGAGGTCTACTTTGTGATGGACAGGTGGAAGATCATGGCAAGCTAGGACAGAGGTCTACTGTGGGATCGACAGGTGGAAGATCATGGCAAGCTAGGACAGAAATCTACTGTGTGATGGGCAGATGGAAGATCAAGGCAAGCTAGGACAGAGGTCTACTGTGTGATGGACAGGTGGAAGATCATGGCAAGCTAGGACAGAGGTCTACTGTGTGATGGACAGGTGGAAGATCATGGCAAGCTAGGACAGAGGTCTACTGTGTGATGGAAAGACAGAAGATCAAGATGTTTTTTTAAATCCCAAACTATCAAAAGACACCAGTTCACCACTAGACCTATCTATGTGCAAAGTTTGATGAAGTTTTCAAGATCTGCTCCGGAAACGAGGACTACCGCCTTTTTCAGTCTAAATAAAAAGTCGTTACCATGGAAACTCGAAAAATATTTTTTATAAAAATCCCAAACTATCAAAAGGCACCAGTTCACCACTAGACTTATCAATGTGCCAAATATGGTGAAGAAAAATGGTACAGTTTTCAAGATCCGCTCCAGAAATGAGGACTACCGCCATTTTCAATCTAAATCAAAGTCGTTGCCATGGAAACTCGAAATTTTTTTTTTAAAAATATCCCAAACTATCAAAGTCACCAGTTCTCCAATAGACCTATTTATGTGCCACTTGTGGTGAAGAAATATTGTATGGTTTTCAAGATCTCCGGAGAAAACGAGGATTACAACCATTTTCAGTCTAAGTCAAACTCGAAAAATAATGTTTTCAAAAATCCCAAACTATCAAAAGGCACCATTTTACCACTTGACCTATCTTTGTGCCAAGTTTGGTTAAGATATCTCTCAAGGTTTTTGTGTTCTGCTCCGGAAACGAAATGTGACGGACGGACGGCACCCATTCCTATATCCCCCTTCAACTTCGTGGCGTGGGATAATAATGGCATTTTGTCATTTAAACCAGATCCAAATGAAGCTGTGACAGAGAATGGGCCCATGGTATATGTCCTAATAGACTGGAGATATGATACACTGGAAAACAACTCTCACCCTTTGGTTACATTAAGCTGTCTCCATCCACTGATAGCGTCTTGTGACAGCCCTTCATTGTGTCTGTAGATTCCATACCAATTAGTTAGACATATACAATATTTATTTATCTTTTTCACAAAACCAACCTGGTTGTGGATAAGGGTAGTAGTGTGGTCATTCTACATACCCATACATATAACACAAGCATGGCACAAGCCGCGCGGCTCCTCAGAGACAATTGAATTGATCCCCTGCCAGGTTCAATCATGTTTTTATCGTCTGTACTGAACATTCTGTTCTCATAGTAAAAAAAATGAGTCATTTCATAATTTCTTAAATTGAAAGAGTATGTCCATACATGAAAATGACATTTGTCTGAACATCATTTTCAACAACATTTTCTTGTGTGTAAGAGAAGAGTTAAGTAAATAACTTCCTCAGTAACCTGTCGACCTCTGGGGGTGTCAGTCAGGGATAATCAAAGGAGATATTTGTGTCTCCCATTGCTTGCCTCTCCATCATCCTAGAGCCAGTCAGTCAAGTCCTTCTTATCATAAAATTTATCATTTCTACTCATCAGTGGAACTGTTTCAATCTAACCTGACAGTAGAGTCTAACCATATCATCATTCATCAACTACACTGTCTTCAATTCACCATGAAATATAGCAGCCAATATAAACCCCAATACCAAGTACCTCCTCCATGCATGGCCCCTGACTTTCGCAGGTTAATAAGAAATGAGAGTCACTATCATGGCTGTCAGTCAAAGACACTCCACATCTCTACATGAAATCTTTTCAATAATGCCTCTCAGAGAGCCATCATAAACACTGTCAAGATCTACACAAAGTATTGATATGTTTAAAAAAACCAATCCATTGTTCAATCCAATCCTTCATACAAAGTGTGAATGGATGATGTCAGTTTCATAGATGTATGGTTAGGATGCTTCAACGTGATAAGCTGCAGTCAATCATTCAAGATGATGCCAATTTCATGTGTTCATTTCATCCCATGTATTCTAGCTGACTGAATTCATGTGAGAAGGCATGGATTACCCCACCTTTGGGGCATAATTTGCAAAGGATGCTTGTAGTGCAATTCGTAAATGTAATTTAACTTAGCTTGAGGCTAATCAGTCTGAATTTAGTCTTGCACATCTTAATATGAAGCCTATCCATCACAGGCATATTCCAGTCAAGTGTAAGGTCAGATTCAGTCATACATTTTACTACCTTAAAAACTCCCATGTCACCTCTAGACTGAGGATGTTGTTTCCAAGATAGGGCCTCTAACATGTTTTACTACATTATTGGTAATGGTTGATCTCCTTCACCACCACTCTAGACCATGAGTTTCTGCAATTACATACGAAACCATAAACCTTTTCTTTTAAAGCCCTGGAAATACATCAGGGAAAGCTACATATTAAACCTGTCTTTACAGCATTTAGTTTCAAACAATTCCTAGCTCTAAAGAGCAAAGGTGGAGCACTTAATGTCGTCTTATCAAATATAGCCTGTAATTGATCTTGCAATCACATGCAGAAAAACAAGAGTGTTGGGTTGCCTCATCTGACCACATCTCTCTCTCTCTCCCTCACAATCTGACTGATCAAGGTATGGAAGCTGTCCCCTAGCAACACATCACTGGGCAGAATCAGTAATCTCATATATTTCTTGTCATCATAGCATCACCTAGGTACCTATCTATGAATGCAAAGAGAATTATTCAATTCTTCATCAGCATGAAAAATTATTTGCCATGAAAACATATTGGATGTCTGATTGGGATGATGAGGTCCAACAGTACCAGCACAGACTAGCTATTACAGAAAAGCATCAAGTTACCTCAAACATGGCTCGTAAAGACTAAGTATTTAACAATGGATAACCCAGAAAAGACTCAGACAATAATTCTGTACTATTAATACCTTCGTTTGTTACAAAAATATTTTATACTTCATGTTAGATAAGACTGACAGAGCATATGATCGTCATATTAACCAACACAAAAGTATAATCAGTGGTAAACATCTGTGGCACCTGTTTTGACCATCAGGTAAATTTCAGAGAACGTCTTCAGCCCCATCTCTCCCTCAGAATAGATCAGGACAGAACAGATAATGCTAGCCAAACTTATTTCCCAAACTTAATAGCAAAAGCATGAAATATGATGGTTCTACTAGTATTACAACATAGGCCTTGATTAATATGTCAGAACTAGGGCAATAAAGCGCAAAAGTACTGCTCATGATTTGTGAATAAACAAATTCTCCTGTTCATAAAGAAGACACATGCAAGCTATGCTTGCCCATGTGAGCCCACACTACATGTACTACCAGCTGATAGAACCAGTGACAACTACCATGGTCAGTCAAGTACACAAATAGGGGCAGTAAACTCTCCATCTCAATCTTGTGGGTGTCTCTTACAAAATCACTGATATGGCAATAAGTGTCCAATTAACGCAGATGGAATTTCTCAGTCCACTCACTCTGGTGGGCAGGATGGTTAAAAAGCAGTTCCCAGAACAACATTATGTTTAATCATCTGACATTTAAGAAGTGCCACCGCAATCAAATTGCTTGAAAGTAGAAAAACAGTATTATATTCTGAAAACATCTTTTCGACTTGTTCCACCTGATATTCCTTTCTGGGGGTCAATACATTTTAAAGTGTTTGCATGTTTGTTTGTTTGTTTTTTTGTTGTTTAATGCTACACTCAGAAATATTCCAGCTATATGATGGCAGTCTGTAAATAATCAAGTCTGGGCCAGACAATCCAGTGATTGGCATTATCAGCATCGATTCATGCAATTGGGATATGATGATATGCATCAACCAAGTCAGTAAGCCTGACCACCCGATCCCGTAAGTTGCCACTCACAACAAACATAGACACCTTTTATTTCAAGCATGGGTTGCTGAAGACCTATTCTATCCCGGATCTTCGCGGGCAAGATTTTAAAGTGCTATATGCTGTGCACATTCCATCATGTATATGTTTGCGCATTCAATCTTATATCAGAAACTTCCTGTGACATCATCTGTTGGTTTGGGAGGTTTCTCATAATCCAAATAACCTTCTAGGGACTATTGCTGGGTTAACTTGTGCTCATCTTAACAATCGAATAGAAACCTGTACCTGCACTGAAGTGCATGTTTACAAATGTTACAACATAACCTGTTTCTTGTCTGTCTGTTCAAACCATGAACCTTCAACATAGTAAGCTGTCATACCTGAATTAAATTTTCTGAAAATAATTCCTGATTTGGGGATTCAAACCAGTATACTGCATGACATTTCTGAGCTAACAACTAAATCAGCCATTGAGGCTGTACGTTTCACAGGAATCATCGGTTTTCAAAGTCATGCTTTGGAATGATCATTATCCTCTATCGGAATATGTAACAAAATATGTTTGTTCTTGTAGAGAGGCTATCTACATCTGAATGATGTGCAAAGATACAAAGAGTCTTCAAAAGTTATTAAAGTTTCTACTCATTGTAATGCTGCATGTCCTAAATTAACTAGGCACCGGTTGTGTCCACTGTTATATAAGGACAAACAATGAAGTATTTGTATTCTCTCTATATCTGATGTATTTGTTCAATTTATCTTGACATGTTTTACATACTGTACATGTTGATATTTGTTTCTCCCCAGCCCACTGTAGCATGCCCCGACTCACATTGTCTCTTGTAGTCATTACTGTCCTGCATGAAGGTCACAGGAGGTTTCAGTTGTGGGTTGATGTCTTCCCAGTCAATCGTGTTCTCATAACAGAGCAGGTTGTTGTTCTGGAAGAATACTTTCCCTGCAAGGATTTCTGCACAACAGAAACATACAAAGAATTTTAGTTCCATACACATGCATGAAGATGAATTATTAACATGATAGCTTTCTAGCACATACAAGTGCAGATGGAAAGTACTGGTATTCATTTTGCTTTCAAAAGATTGAGAGGAAGTCATGAAACCTTCAATTCTGTGTGTGTGTGTGTGTGTGTGTGTGTGTGTGTGTGTGTGTGTGTGTGTGTCTGTGTGTGTGTGTGTGTGTGTGTGTGTGTGTGTGTGTGTGTGTGTCTGTGTGTGTGTCTGTGTGTCTGTGTGTCTGTGTGTGTCTGTGCATGTGAATGCGTGCATGTTCTCTTGATGCTTGGACTCACCTGAAAGTGATGAGAATCGAAGTTCCCGCAATCCTATTGTAGAAGAATTTGGGAAGTGGTTAAGTGCAACAAATAAGCTATAGGATTGCCTTTCATAATGAAACAGCGTCTTTCCTCGAATGATTCTCAGATTGGTCAATGGAATATAGTTTGCATAAACTGCCACAATCAGAATATAGCCAGTCACTTCTTTTATGTCCTTCAAAAAAGAAAAATCATAATTTCCTGTTGTATTCTCAAGAAACACAAGTTCTAAGTTGCCAGCCACATATGTGCAGTTTGTGTAGGAGTCCTTGTATCTTTGGTAGCGGAAACTGGCTTGTCCTCGAGCTACAATTCCTTGTGATGTTCCTGTGCACACTGAAACAAAACAGCATCCAGTTAGTCGCCACATCAGACAGGTAGACATGTACACGGTGACACTACTGCAGACACAACCATTATCATTCAATCCATCCTTCAAATCATGGTGAAAATAACAACATGTCTAATATTTGTACAATATTTCAGTGGCTTGTAAATAATTGAGTCTGGTCCAGACAAACAGTGGGGTACATAATGAACAATGTCGTACACCATCAGGGTATGATGGAACACCTAGGCAGGCAGACAGATGACTGTCATTGCCTCTATCAGGTCAAGTGTGAACGCCACTATTTCAAACTCCTACATCTGCCCCTGCTGTCCTATGAACTACACCACTGAGTGTCACCATCCATTCCAACTTAGTTGACAAGCAACAGACATATAACTGTGGCAATACTAGCATCATAAAACAATCAATAAAGCTATGTCAGTGAAAATACCTTCTAAAGTTAAGGAAAATTAGAACCACACTTCTCTGAAGCTCACCTGAATTATGAAAAAATAATGGAGGTTATGTTTAAAATTGAAGCAGAATTCTGTGAGCATATATTACACACACCATACATGGGATCATTCTGACAAAGTTTAAGCTCTGTGGGCCTTGTATTTAGAGGACATGTCGTAGTACACGGGTAACCGAATGTCAAAGGTTATAGCATGTGCAAAAAAACAGGTTTTGTTATTCCTCATACCACATGCTTCTTATTTATCAAATTTATGCAGAAATGATTGAGTAAAGGGCAAAAATGACATTTTCAATATTGCTGCGATGGCCACCATGCTTAAAATGGGATCAGATTCAGTCATGTGAGCTAAAGATTAGCACTATGGTATGCTGCGTAAGAGGAAAATACGGAATTCTTATCCAATGTCTTCCTCTTCACATACGGGTGTACAATGCTAAAGGGCAAAAGTGACATTTTCAATATTCCTGCGAAGGCCACCATGATGATTGGAAATCAATCCTGTTTGATCTTTTTCTTGTCAGTGATTTCAAAAATCATTTACTGACGAAAAGACACATTTTCGTTGTTTAAATGCATAAAGCATATGGACCCTATCTTATTTTTGAGGTGGTTCATGATAATCCATCATACAATCATGTTATGGAACTCACTGTCTCCCCGCCAGTGCCGCACCTATTTGTGCTACTTGTGACTTGATTGAATTTGACTGTTTGGCCAACTGTAATGTGTTCTCTACATGATATACTCTGCTTCTCGACTGCCCCCATTTCATCAATACTGCTCCCATCCTCCCACTTTACCCAGCAATAACACAAAGTCAATACTTCGGTCATAACTACCATCTTTACAGGAACACTGTTAGCTCAAGCACTTGCCTTTAATAACCCTTGACAGATCATTGACATAGCAAATCTATATTCCTCACATCAGCAGAGTCAAAGGCAAGAGGAGCCCAAAAGATTGTTTCCCATTTGTGTATGAGTAATCCAAATGTTGGTTCATATCAGCATAAACCCAATTACATATTCAGTTGTGTGTACGTGGCATTGCTAGAGATTTACTGATGATAATTAATGTTACGAGCTGAAGTCACATCTATGTGTGTTATGTGTACAGTCCTACAGTAATCTGTATTAGTGTTGATCTGTATCAGTATACCGGACACTGGTTGTCCATAGGGCTCCTGCATATTGACAGATTGAAAGATCGTGATGAGACCTTAGCTCTGTCTGTGGGATTATATATAGACCACTGAGGTGTTATTGGAGGGGCAAATACATACAGACAACTGAAATTACTTTAAGAGTGAAACAGTTCTCAGTCATTAATATGAAGCAATCACTTAAAAAGTGTTTGCAAACACAGAAGTAGCCCCTTTAAGGCCATTTAAATGGTGTGGCCAGATATCATATCATATTCTCATATCATGACATACCACAGACATTTCAAGTCAGATATCATTACATACCACATGCATAATCCTACCAGCATGAATGATTGTTTTGAAAAATACATATACCAGTATTTTCTAAACGTATTGTGATACGTATTCATTAGTATTTCAAATCGTGGTATACCGGTATACCGGTATTACCATGCACCGCTACACTAAAGGAGATCTATTGAAAGTATTCCCATCTACAGTGGCTATAAAATGACAGCACATGCAAAAGTGTAATCAGCTTGTAAATGATTCCTGATCATAAAAAAAGTGAACTGGAATTAATAGTCAGTTTATATGAAGTTCTGATCACATGGATTGATGATAATGGAATGATAGATTAGAAAAGCTTCATAAAATGTGATCTAGACAGTGTCATTTCAGGGCAATGATATGATAATGCCTGTGGCGGCTTCTGAAAGAAACTCACAGAATAATGAATTCTTGAAAACTGGAGCAAACACAGCTAAAAAATCACGATTGTTTGACATGGAGAAATATGTGCCACTTTCCACACCACATATCTCATTGACATGCTTCTAATAGGAGAGTGCTAATTGTCCTGACAAGAGAATGGCAGTTAACTCCTTTTACCTCTTCAAATACTATTTTCCAACACCTGATTATAAGCTTAACCTCTAATGTGTTGAGGATGTGTTGATTCCTACCGCCTGCAAGTACAAAGCTTGCCAATATGGCTACCAGATGTCAGCGGAGAACGAGGAAGCGAGGACTTCCTCCACTGTGAGAGGCAGTCTTGAGGAAAATAGTAGCAGTATTAAACATGTGGGTTACTGTCAAATGTGGTGAAGGTTTGAAACAGAAGTTGGTGTTTATTTACATAAAATTCCAAAAACATCACTAAATGCTGGTCTTGTCAGAAGCAGTATGGAAATAATATACACGATGTGAAGGTCAACCTTCCATGACCACTGTTCTACAGAAACCAAGTGCAGAATGTCCAATATCATTGCCAGTTCATTTTGGGGAAAATAATTCTCCTGAAATAACTTACAACCTCATCATGTTTGGGATTGGGGCGCTTTTGCCAAACCAAATAAATGTTTCTGCATTTCAGTTGCATATATTGCCCATGTCATAACAAATATTTTTGCTATTTTTTATTTCCACTATAATCAGACACACAGATGTTACATTCCATGGCTGAGAACATTATATGTCCTGCCTACAGAAATTGCTTGATTAGTTTCAGATATGTTGACGCTTAAGATGACTCGAAGTACCTGCAGATGTCTCAATAAGAATTGACTGTAAAGAAAGTTACACATAATTGGTATACAGATAGACCTTCAGAATGAGGCAGATTATCATGCTTTCATAATCCCTGGACTTGTACCAGTACATTAAGGTAAGATCATCCCAGCATTGAGAATAAATCAAGGTATTAACAGATATCGCCACGTTCGGCTGGGAATAATGTACATGTAGCCGGAGGACTGAGATGAATCTGTGACTCGACTACATACTGAACAGCATGACATGACTTTCTCCGATTACCTTTCACTGCAGTAAAACTGTCATGTTTCTGTATTGTTATCCCTAAACAGAAGATCTTTAAAACTTCTGTTATTTTTTTGGATATAATGACACAATGAAACTTCATACAGTTATTACAATGAACCATACCCACTGCCATACTAATATAAACTCCTGTTACAGCTCAAACATGCACGTGTAGCAGGGTGTGGAGTCATCCCACAGATGACATCCTTACCTTGTCAGCTTGCTGACGGGGTTAACCTCTTTGGTCATGTGGACAAGGCGTCCGACCTTGGATCAGAAGGTACGTGGTTCGAATCCCATCAGGGGGCTCGGAAAATTTATTGGCAACTACATTGGCGCCCAACATGGGGCTGAGCACGTTGAATATTAAATTTGAGCAAAATAAGCCTCAGTACCCTATTATGCGGCCCGGGATGTGCCTTCTGTTGACGGGGGAGTATGTAGCAGGGCGTGGAGTCATCCCACAGATGACATCCTTACCTTGTCAGCTTGCTGACGGGGTTAACCCCTTTGGTCATGTGGACAAGGTGTCCGACCTCGGATCAGAAGGTCCGTGGTTCGAATCCCATCACGGGGCTCAGAAATTTTATGGCCGCTACACACGCAAAAGGGAGACATGTTGTATGCAAAGAAAATACTTTTCACAATAGTATTTTCTATCGGTATTTATTACCCACATGGTACCACGTAAACAGGGTAACATAACAAACTGTTATAAAACATGTGTCATAACACTTGCATGAGTGCGAGTGAGTATGGTTTTATGCTGCCTTTAGCAATATGTGGACACTTTACAATGTAGGTTTATTCACCGAAACAACATTGTATACATTATGCATTTGCGTAAATACATAAATATATCAGTTACATACACGTTTCCTAGAAGAAAGAATAGTCTAGGTCTAGCTGAGAGGTACATAGTTTCATTCAGAACCACTTGCTGTCTCTCATCTACTGACAATAATCAATCAGGCGTTTGAACATCCATATACACAACCAATGAACACCAATACTGATCTACTCTACTCTTTTAAGGTATATCTCTCCCCCTCCCCATCTAACATATCAATGTTGATGAGTATGTGTAATCAACTGAATAATATGGTCAATCATGTAAGAAACTCAGGGCCAGGTAGATGGACTGACCAACTCAACATTTCAATCTTTCATATGACATACTGTGACTTGTGCTTGTCAAATGTTGCTGCTAATTATAAATGTAGATCTAAAGAGATGATAATTCATCATACTATGAAGACTTTAACAGTGATAATAAGCCAGAGTCATGATGTTTTCTTGTAATAGTAACATGTCTGCTTAACCTCTTGTTATAATACTTCAACCAATGCACTCCATGAACACACACAGTCCTGATGTCAGCCCCACTCATCATGACGACAGGAGCAGTGTACAGCGTGTCGTCGTGAGAGCAAATAAAAGTATTTTAGTAATTTCAAAGTAAAACACGTTATTTCAGTGTTGTAAGATAAGTATTTATCACCAAAAGGGCATGAAAGTCCACTATAGCAGGTTTGATTTCCAAAATAATTCATTGGCCTCTA